CAAATTGAATACGTTCCAAGTTAAAAACAATGGTGGTCAGTCAAACCTATATGACGAAAATCATTGACAAAATGGGGGCTTGGACAAATGGATATGCTGTCAAAATAAAACGACTTTGACGATTTTGTAAAATTATTCATGTACATTTTAAGTATTTGTTAGTCAAAGATTTTTTATATCAATTAGAATTATCGATTTTGCTGAGCCACTTCATTATAATGAAAAAAAAAAATGTTCTGCAGCTGAGATATAAAAATATTCCTATGATTAAGACTGTTGAGATGCTACATATATATAGTATATGCCTACATTACGATTGATAAGTAGTACTACTGTCAGATACTAAAGATGAGATCGATCGATAGAGTGACAAACATGGAACTGACACCCTAGATAGAGAAGGAACTGGAATTTATGTCCACTATAACAATAAAAATGGTGAAACATTTGCAACACCATATGAAAGAGCAAAAATACTACTTCAAAATATAAAACAAGCAATTTGAGAAACTGGTTTAGCTACAAATCAAACCAGTCCTTTATTAGCAGTAAAAATTATTTCCAAACTTCGATAGGAGAAGCACAACAAGAAGAAGTCAAAGATTGGCATAAATGATGTTGGCCAACTTACCTCTCCATGTAGATTAGCACCCACTAGAACCTAATACATGAAATAAAAAATTCTTTTACGGAACCAAGTATTGCGACACATATTTTCTCTCGAAAAAGACAAAAACGATATTCAGTTGGTTACTGATATCTTTACTAGCCTTTGTCCTAATATAGCATCTCAAAAAGATAGGTAAATCCACAACGGGGACTGTGGCTTCTGTAATGAAAATAGCAAACCTTTAGAAACATATTATAAGTCTACGTCGCAATTTTTTACAAACGAGAAGCTCCTAGAGAAGAACGACGACCCGAAAGAAAAATATAACTTGTGTTTAAGCTGTTTAAATATCTCAGTATCTTGTGTTAGTTGTTACTTTTTACAAAAGAGTTTCCAGAAACAAAAAAGCAAAAGTAAAGTCCATCATCATTACTCAAACATCATGAGATTACTGGATATCTGTAAGGTACAAATTAATATACTTTTAAAAATTAGTTATATAATTACAAGACTGTCTAAGAGAGAATAACACAATAGTGGGGCCAACATCATGACCATATAATTAAATTTAGCAAAAGTATTACAAAAAACATTCTGGTAAAGTATCACATTACGGAATCGAAATAATATTTATAGTATGTCAAAAAATTACTAATGTTAATGATATTTATTGATATATAGTGGTAATAACAATGTTTACCAGAATATTACAGTTCGAATGGTACTTTAAATATAACAAAATATTCATAGTTTTCAAATGTGGCTACTCTTGAATATAGCGTCACCTCGCCGCACCAAAATGAAAACACGTTATCTTACAAAAAAGAAAAAGTTACATAACAAAACAATCACAGAACAACGAGGAGATTCACAAAAGCTTATATTCTATATGAAGGTAATGGAACTAATAAAAGAAATATTTTAAAGTATTTTGTCATTCTATCTTCAAAGTTAAATGTGGTGAATTCATCCATATCAAACTTTTAGTTTGTAACGTACACACTGCTTTTGAACTAAACTTTTTTAAAATTAACACAACCTAAAAAAATTTCTATTTATTTCCATTCCTAGTATTGGACAATCACTGACAATCAATTTATACTTTGAGTTTAACTATCATATCTTCTTATCACCAGAAAGATACGGTTTGTCAAGTGGTCAGGAATTGGGAAACTACGGCCCGTGGATCATCTCCAATCCCCGAAGCGTTAAAATCTCTCCCTGCGTAGTGTGTGGGTGTGTTTGAGTGACCGTGCGCTTCGGCTGGTGCGTGTCGTGTCGCAGTAAATGGGAATTTTATAAAGCCATATCTAGGATACAGTACCCAAATATAGTTCCCCGCGCCCAAAAAATAATAGCTATTTTTGGTACAAGTTATTTGTGCGAACAATCGTTTATTTTGTAATATTTCACAATAAGTTTTTCCGAAAAATCAATATTTTTATTTCAGCAAACAACACAACCATAAATGAAAAAATGCAACAGCTTGGCCCGCTATATATTTCTATATTAAATATTGCCACGCAAAAGAAAAAGTTTCCCCATCCCTCAAACTTGTTTCTATTTTTGACAAACACTTCTTTAGAACTATGGCAGAGATGGGTTAAGCATTCATCCTCCTTTGTTTTTTCTATTCAGTGCCATTGGTTTATGTGTTATTAAATGATAAAGCAAGTGAAGCCAGCGCAACACACGAGAACAAAGGAAATTTCACATAAAATAGAAGAGAACATATTGAAGGGAAATACCAAAATTTTTTTTTAATAGGCTGGCGTTAGATTGAACCTAAAATTGGGGGAAAGGACAAACATACTCAGGAATTGAAAATCAGATGTAAACCTGTGAGACAAATATCTTAAATCGTCGGAATTGAAACTAAATTAACTAAGAGCGGTGGGAATATTATTATATAAGAGTGTTTTTATTATTTTTTAACGAACATAATTCTTCAGCAATGGCTGATGTCATCGTTTATACCAAAAAATATTGCTTCTAAACGGCTGCAGTCAATCAGTGAAAAGATGTTTAGACTTTAATCAATATGTGTATACATGCTTTACTGATTTTGAGAGATCATTTGATAAAGTTAACATGACAAACTGGTTGACACCTTAAAATCGAAATATACTGATAAACGTGATGTCAGAATATATAAGTGTGCCTATGCACACTTATATTGGAACCAAGATATAAACAGATACTAATTCACTATCGACGTAAAAATGCTAACAGGAGTTAGACAAGGATGTGTATTGTCTCTCATAGCATTTACTATATATAGTGAAGCCATATTCACTTCACGACAGAGGGAATCATAATAAATGATTAATTATTGATTAATTTATATTACACTGCTGATACACACACAATTTCCCCACAAATTAAATGCGGTTAACGAAATATGCAGAAAGAATGGAAGAGATAATTTGCCAGATATAAATAACAGGAGCCAATAGACATATAACACCAGAACTAAGAACAAGATTATTGTGATCTATATTATACGGTCCTGAAGCTTGAACACTGAAAAAAAATCAAATATAGAGAAAATAGAATGGTCGCGAGTTTTTGTTATTAAAGAACGGTACATATACCATGGACTGACTGCATTACTATTACAAATGAGGAACTATTGTCAGAACCAGTAAATGGTTGTATATCTTGCAGACTCCCAACTTTTCTTAAACTATTAAATTAAATATTGAATGGGCATTACTTCACTTGCAACCCCATCTAAATGCGGGAGGTACGAATCAAATAAGAACTTACCCCTCGCTTTAAGAATTGTAAGTAACATTGGCGCAAGTAGTTGCCCCCTACTTGCTTATTTTTTTGTATTTCGTTATATACATATTCAAGTGGAAATGAAGAAACCAGCGTGTTCTAGACGGAACGGATATCACACCTTTCGGATGTCTTCATATGAGAATATTACATATTACCTTGGTCATGTAATGGGCGAACCAGATACGCAATACTAAGCCCAATACTGGAAGCAAAGATAAAGGATAAGCGCAGTGTTAGGAGAATAATTTATTGGGCTAAGAATTGCCATAATGATTTCCAAAATCCGCACTGTACACATTCATGTTACTCAAAGTAAAAACGGCAATAGTAAAATTCAGAAAAAACTGCCCTAAAGTAACTTAAATAAAAAATTAATATGGGGAAAAGAGTATTAAATGAAACAAAAATATTGTTTTGGTTATTTAAGCTTGTACTGTTATCAATTTTGTATTATCGTGTTAACATTCAGTAGATAAAGAAAATGCAGTAATTACCTTCATCACGGTATATCAATTGCCAAAGCATTTGTTACCTTTTTGTAGCGAAATAAATTAGTGGAATATTTAAATTGCTTTTAAAAAATGCAACCAATTTTTTCTCCGATAACAAGGGTCAATATGTTAGGCATTTGGCACTTATCTCGTTACTGAATGCAATCTGACTATAGCTAGAGAAAAATATATACCGGAGTAATTAACTTAGTTTGTCTGTCAGGAAAAGAGTAAAAGAAGCCTGTTTAGGTAGAATACCTGTCAACGCATTGTTACTGCAGATCACATTAAAATTCTATAATTTTATTTGAAATAGAAAACAATATTGTACTGTTGCAATATCTAAAGAGGATAAATCCATTGTTATTAAAAATAATACAAGTAGGACATACATAGCGAGGCCCATATTAGCTAACCCAAAAAACATACGATAGATGAATTATAGACATATGACAGTTAACAATTGGCAGATTCGACAAATTATGACAGCGTTTATCCTAACTGTAACTGTCTCATAACTTATAAGAACAATGTTTGGTAATATGTCCGCACAATATATGTGAAGTCTTTCAAAACTAAAATGTCATTTATTCTGAATTGAAGTATTTAAAAATAAAAGTGGACATTATAAAAACTAAAACTTACAACAACAAAAAAAACAGTAAATTACATTTTAAGAAGAAATTGATCAATTAAAATATTCAATTTGGTTAACTCCAATAATCAGTTCAAGAGCAACTTATTCATTCTTCATTTTATTACACCACACTTAAAATTTAAGAGACATGGAGATTTAATAAAATTTTTCTAATATCTAAAAATTTTATGGAATTTATTTATTATTGGATTTAATAAAAATTTTCTAAAATCTAAAATTTTATGGAAAAATATATTAGGTAATACTTCTGTAAACCTCCTCATTACCAGGTGACAAAAAACAAACAGAAATTAAGGACGCCTATCACTAAAAAACAGCACTCGATATCCGTGTGTTTCTGTCTATAATTTACATGAGAGGTGAAAGAGTGTCTCTGGATTTCATTTCTTTCTCTTTAATTTGAACTTTGAACACATTAAAGCAGTCGACTTGGCTTCGTAGCGCTTCACGAGCTTCAGCTCTGCTTCACTCGTTTCCTTGGCGGCCCTATAGGCGGAATTTGTTGTGTCGCTAAAGCTCTAAATGCTTCTGCTATTAGATGTGGATGGGTTTGGATCATTGACTTCCAACCAGGAGTGTCCATCACGTCCGTAGCGTGTCTAAAAAACGATTATTGATTAGAACAGAAAAATATTTGTTAAAATTTAAAATTTCTTATAAAGTTAGACCTTAATTTTACAAATTTGATTTTGCTTTGGTAAATATGCTAATTTCGGCGAATTGAACCGAGATTATGGTTTAAAAATAAAAATTAAGTTTAAGACCTTTGCACCCTAGAAAAATGACGTAACTTCCAGTAATAAAAAGAGAATTATATTCGTTGAATATGGGGAAACGGGGGGAAGCTTAAAATATGTCAATTATTTCTTTTAGTCAACAAAAACATTTGAGACAGTGTTAAAAAAACTATTAATTAGCAGCTGATACCTTTAGTGCTAAACAAATAATTGAGTTTTGGCAGGAATCAATATATACATTATAATGACTTTACACCCCGATGTGGGATAAGTCGCAAAAGCAATCTTGATCCTATTTTTTGGTGATCAGTACATTTTGCTTATGTTATCTTGTTAACGATCTTTCTCCATGTTTTTCTGTCTATTTTTTCCCTGCCATTCTTTTACTCCTACGTTTTGTAAGACTTCTTGCAGTCACTTTGATATCTCCTACTGACCAAATGTGGCCTAGCCATCTAGTTCTACACTGTTTTTATTTTGGTCACGATACCTTCTCTCAGTACTTTCTTAATCTCTGGATTTGTTTTGCTTCTAAATTAATTTTGATCTGTTGATCATTTTGATCATTGATCCTAGTATGGGTCTCATAATTTTTGTTTGCACAATTCGAGCAGGAATCGATGCTTATTTGAATTCAAACCAATTGAAATCGGTAATTAAATGAAACGCTAATATCTGTTTTAATATCATTCAAGAACTGTGGAACACCTACTAAAACATTCACTGAAACTAGTTACAAAGACAAAACTATCAAAAAATTAATTTCTAATTTTTTAAATTTCAATAGTAATTTCTAGTTTATTTGGTAAAGCATTGTCAATAATTGGCAATAACTTTTCTCCAGTTGTCCCTATCCATCGCCTTCCTCCGCCAAGCATGTATTACCATATTTCTCATGTCTTCGTCCATGTTATCAAGGAATCTTGTTCTGGGTCTTCCTCTTCTTCTCTCACCAATGGGTCTATCATGGAGCGTTTTTCTAGCTGGATCTATCTATCCACCTTAGACGTCCCATCTTAATATGTTTTACTGTATCAGATTCCTGGTATATTCTATAAAGTTCGAAATTGTATCATCTTCTCCACACTCCATTGTCATTCACAGCTCCATAGATTCGTCTTAGTACTTTTCTTTCGAAACATTTTAACATCTTTACTGTATCGGGTTCCTGGTATATTCTATAAAGTTCGAAATTGTATCATCTTCTCCACACTCCATTATCATTCACAGCTCCATAGATTCGTCTTAGTACTTTTCTTTCGAAACATTTTAACATCTTTTCATTATTTTTTGTTTAGAGTATAGGTCTCTGAACCATATGTTAGGACTGGGCAAATTATTGTTTTGTAGAGGTTTATTTTTGTATTTCTCGATATAATTGTGGATTTAAGGAGGAGATTGAGCCCAAAATAGCATCTTTTGGACGTGCAAATTCTGCGGTTTATCTCTGCAATAGTATTATTTTCAGTGTTACAGAGCGCTCCCAGGTATACAAATTCGTTCGCTTCGATTACGTCATTTTCTATAACAAGTGGTCGTAGGATTTGTAGTTGCGTGCTTATTTTTATACTTAGAAGCGTAATTCCTCTGTGGTTAGATCATTCAAAGATATCTCCTTTTTTGTGTATGGTACAAAGTATTCCAATTGTCCAATCATTGGGGAGGGTTTTCTGTGTCCATACTTCTTTTATAAGCTGCATGTGGCTATTATACAAAAGAAATATCTTTCTTGGGCGTAACATTGAGAGATAGGATGATAATTGAATAAGTTCATAGAAGGAGTGGTGTAGAGGACATTATAATACACATAACTAAAATTACATGGAAGTGGAAAGAGGACATCGCTAGAATGAAAGATAATAGATGGATCAAAGAAGAACTTGGCAGTGGAGACCAAGAAATGATAGAGGAAACCCGATAAAACCACCGAAGAGATAGGGTGACGACATAGAGGGTATGTATCAACTTCATTGCAACAGCGAAAGATCTAAATGAAATTTTTTTGGAGACCTATTTTCAGGCATGCCTATGTCTGCCAATAACTTAAATATAGAAACAGATTTCTATTGTATAGAGATTTTTATAGGACGAGGATATATTGAAAGCTTAGGTCTAATTGCGATGTGAATATTTATATAAACTTATTAAAAGACGTTTTGCCCACTTTGTAACCGTTTTGCAAACAATTTCAGTTTACCTATAAATACCAAAGTAGACGGTAGTTACAGGTTCGTTACGAATAATGGTTGTAAATACTAAAGTATATCAAGAATTTGAGTGTTTTTTATATAAAACTTACGTATTAATAAAATCTATGGCTTGAGCTTTAAGCTGGTCGGCACTATGTAAGTCGGCCAGAATGAGAATTTCTGCTGCGTTTTCTATTGATAAATTTGTACATAATGCTTCTTCACACATCACTTTCAGCCTCTCGAGAGCATACTGTAACAAAAATTATTATATTGTAAATAAGACAATTTTTTTATTGACAGATTACAACAATATTATTTGCCTAGTAAATGTTGGGTTAAGGTATTAAAGAAAATTGTTAGTCATTTTTAGTTTTAATAAACCAACCTAAGCTCAACGCCTTAGAATATCATTGGTATGAAGCATAACAAGGAATAATTCTTAAGACTTATTGTATCATCCTATCGATATCGTTTTGTATAAAACTTAGAGGTCGCTGGTTAAATGAAATTAAAATAGTAATGGAGAAAAAAATTCAATATTTTGACTGACTGTGACTAAATTGATTGACTAAATTGATAAACGAATAGCAGAACATAAAAGGGCTTTCAAGAATAGAAAAACAGATTCGACATACGCACTTCACCTTCTAGATCATAATCATTCTTTTAATGACAAATTTAAAATTCTTCACATTCAAAATAAAGGCCTTAAGCTATCTTTGTTAGAATCTATGGAAATCAACAAATTAAAAAACACAGATATAATTCTGAATTACCAACTTGAGACAAACAGTTCTCCCCTCCTCAACCTATTTCATTAGAGACTATAAATTTGTAAACCCAAGCCAAAATAGATCACTTGAGAAAGGCAATCAGCCCAAACCGCTGTAGTGATAATATTTAAAATAAATTTTGTGGAAGTTTGAAAACAAAGTTTTCAGTGTTTTATTGTTACATTTTAAGAATTAACTAGCTTGTTACTAGACCATCTCAAGACAACACTTGAAGTGTTGTCTTGAGATGTTCAGAAACCCTCTAACCGTTAGTTGGTTCATTAGACAAGTGCGTGCTCATAAATCGACTCCATTGTATTGCGATTTTGAATGGCGATATAATTTCCAAATATCAAAAGAAAGTCAACATCTTCGAACTCTAAAAAAGACATGTGCTAAAGCCAGTTTGACAATGAGATTTTACGAAATAACAGGAAACAATATATTTTAAAGCAAATCATGTTATAAATATAGGTATAATCAAATAGATCGTATTATAGTACAGTAAAAGAAAGTATAAAAAATATAAAAATATGAAAATAAATACTACATACTTTCCCAAATAGATATTCTATTTTTATTGTTATTCTGTAGAAACTGTATGACAAATAGGAAGTTGAATTTTACTTCTTTTTGTATTTTGTCTGACTATACACTTGTTTAATATGTTGTAGTCAATCATAATTTAGTCAATCAATTTAGTCACAGTCAGTCAAAATATTGAATTTTTTTCTCCATTACTATTTTAATTTCATTTAACCAGCGACCTCTAAGTTTTATACAAAACGATATCGATAGGATGATACAATAAGTCTTAAGAATTATTCCTTGTTATGCTTCATACTAATGATATTCTAAGGCGTTGAGCTTAGGTTGGTTTATTAAAACTAAAAATGACTAACAATTTTCTTTAATACCTTAACCCAACATTTACTAGGCAAATAATATTGGCACTACGATAAAGAGTATTTGTTAACGGTTAGTTACCTTATCTGCTGCCGCTAGCAGATCATCAGCCATTTTTTCGAGATTTGAGGCCTTTCCCGTGTAGATAAACCTCAGCATCTCTCGCAATACTTCGTGGTCCACGTCTGTTATATCAACTCGATTGTGTTTCCGTTCCTCCATTTCGTGTTCGAACATCGCCTGGAAGACGGGGCTGCGTGCTGTAAATAAAGCATAAATATGTATATAGAGCTAGATTATATTATACAACTATTGAACTGTACCATATATATTTCTGTAATCTATTGGAAGGAGTATAGGAGGAAGAACAGAAAACGCCCATGATACGTAGGTAGGTAGTTTGTTAATACATAATGCAGACATTATTGTTCAAATGGTTCAATAAGGGCTAATCAATCATCTCAATAAATGGTCGAAAAATAAACAATATACCGTTTGCCGACGATACAGCCCTCCTTGCCAACAACCAAGAAGACCTGATTGAACTCACACACCTGGTTGAAAATGAGAATAAAAGTTTGGTCTAGAATTAAAAATAGTAGAAACAAAAATCATGATAGTGGATAGGCACAACACAATAATCATCCATATATAACCAAAAGTTACTGGTTTGATGCGTAAACTCTTTCTTGTATCTGGGATCATTGATACAGGGACGCTCCAGTAAGAGATAACATGTAGATGTAATCTAGCCAAGATTCCTATGGGGATAATGACCAAAATATAGAAAGACCCCAATATTTCAAAAACTGTAAAAGTAAGATTAGTCAACTAATTATATTTCCAGTTCTGACACACGGATGTGAATATTGGACACTAAGGCAATCAGGAAAGAGAAATATAGACGCCACTGAAATGTTCTGCTGGAGAAGAATGTTGCAAATTCCATGAACTGACTGTAGAACAAATAATCCTATTCTAAAATAACTACAGACCAGTGAGAGACTCTCTTACTAAATTAAACTGCAACAATTAGAATATTTTGGATTGGATTATATTTTGGACATGTCATGAAGTTAGAAATGGACAATATGGGATTTGAGAAAGGCACTCTGGCCGGAACATCTGTAGTGATATCTAATAATTTAAAATAAATTTTGTGGAAGTGTTGAAAACAAAAGTTTTCAATGTTTTATTGTTAGATAAAATGAATTTCCATCAAGTAACGGTCGAATCCATCACTTATATGGGAGAATCATCATCAGGGAAGGTCAAAGAACAGGAGGAAGATCTCCAAAGGACATATATCTATTGAGTTAGACCATACCCGATAGCACAACGATTACTGCACTTCCTCAAGAGAGTCAAGACGTAACGCAATTTTTGAAGATTTTTGACCCCTCTCCCATGTAACGCACCGTAACGTTTACAAGACCCCCTCCCCCTACCTAAACGTTACGTAAAGTGACCACTTTTCCACTTGACCACTACCAAAGAGAATTGAAATACTATTATAAAAATAATACCTCAATCAACCATAGTAGCATAGACGATAAGTCTATGCTTCGCCTAGCTCAGTCTCTCAAGTGTGAATTCGTCTCGTCTTATACTATGAATTAAATCATGAACCCTTAGCTGGTAGCAAATAAAAGAATTATTTAACTTATTTATTAGAAATAAAAAATAATATTTAAGTAGCAAAAACAACCATGTCAATGCTTTACATTAAATAAATTTGAACGGTACTTAGGGCATCGAAAGGTTTCTTGCTTCTTAGTATGTCTTGCCTCCTAATTAGATGGTTAGGTCCTCCTGACAGCTGCAGCTATTCCATAAAATATTTAGTAATATCCCATAAAGCCAATAAACCCAAGAGAATTCTGTAGACCATAAAATGAAGCTTATTATAATTCTTACCTTCTTTTATAAATTTCAATTACAGACAAAAAATAATATCCCACCATGTCAGAAAAGCTAATTTACAGAAAGTAAGTGAGAGACTGCAATGAAGTTAGCACAGATGTTAGGACGTATGCCTATGATGTAATTAGCTCTTCTGTCAACATAGAACAAAATATTTAGTCTACCTGACAGAAAGTCAGAGGGCATATTTATTCTACAGGACAGAAAGAGAAAGAAATGAAAAAGAGAGGGTGCCAACTACTTTTTGAAGAAAAAATAGTAAAAACGAAACTGAAGGTAAAGGAATTAATAAATTAATAAAGCTGTGACGTTTATAACGTTACAATTCCAAAAATTCTAGTATTTCTTTCATGTAATTGTTTACATTATTATCTATTTTTCTTTTTTTGATATCGGAAATAGTAAAATTCTTTTGCTGATGTTTTTTCTCTATACGTTTCAGCTTAATTCTTGCACCAGGGACTAAAGGGCTGTGATTACATCCAATATCTGCTTCAGGGTATGTCGTAACTCTACTGATGGAGTTCCTAAATTTTTGTTGATAAGAATGGAAGAAAAGGTAGGTATTTAAAAGACAACTCAATTGTACTACTCCTCATAGGTTTGTTAGCCACTCCGATTCTTTTTATACTGGCATTCCGAAAGCAGACGAATGAATATGGTTCCAGAATTGTTAAACCACTTGCATCAACTTCATATTGCGTCTTCGTTGAACCAATCGGCATCCTAAGACGATGCTATATTATAGCGCACAATCCGAACCCCCGTACCATAACAAAAAAATGTGTTTTTTGTGGAGTTAAGTGTACAGTCCTTTGTGTATTTTTCATTGTTTATATAGAACCAGCAATTTTCTGCTTGCCACATGTTCTCTCCTAGTAGGATACTTAATATCTGACCATAGCTCCGAAGATGGCTTTGTAAGCTGAAAGCGCTCAGCTAGGAATTGAAATCTTTTACACATCACAAATACTTCCCTTTTCCATCTTTTGATTTATAATTTTTTTATTTAATATAACAATGTTACGTAACGCGTTGTTCGAACCCCCTTTTCCTAAGTGCGCTACGTAATACTTGAACGACCTCAAAGAGAGCTTCACATATTACAAATTTGAGCTTTAGAAATAAGAAAACTATTAAAAATGTCCAAAATAACAAAAGCATGAAAAAAAAAATACATAGTACCCTTTTATTTATATTTTAGTAGTATTTATTATTATATAAAAATAGTTCATTGAATAACACACATTACAACAAAAAACATACAAAACGGTGAAGTTAAATATACACTAGACACAAATACACCCGCTTTATTGGATGGAAGTACAGTAAGACAGAGGAATCAAGAGTAAAATTCGTTACGAAATTCTATATTGTTTCACTTTATGATATTTAGTTAGACATCACGAATATACGTAAAGAAGAATCGTTTCAATAATAAATAATTTTTAAATTATTCAAAATTTATAAGTTACCGTTCATATTCAAATTATTATTTCCTTTTTTTAATTAAGTTGCAGATTGGAAATCGACACGTTAAAAAGAAAATGAAAGATGTAGTTTTGCCAGAGAAAACATGCCATAAGTTCAGTTTTAGAATTTTTAATAATCTTTATAATCATAAGAACCTGTCACTAAAAGGTGTAAAAAATGTATGGATTAATAAAACTACAAATTACCTGCCAATATCGCCTTGTGTGCTTGAAACTCCCTACCACCAACTGACAACGTGACATCACTGAATTTCTGATTCTCAAACAGTAATCCTAAATCATCTGATAATCTACATTCTGGAACCTTAAACTGTATTGTATTCGACTGGCCTGAAATATTTACACTATCCGCTACTACACTTACCTGAAAATAAAATAAAATAGTATAATTATGTTATTTGTAAAGCAAAGGTAAATGTGGTAGTTGCTTTATTCAAGAAAATGTTGGAAATAAATATGTTGATAAAATTTTGTGTTTTCAAGCAAGCAAGCAATTTGATTTAACTCAGCCTTTGAGACTTGTGCACCCTTTGGACACCCTTTGGAATAACATTCGGGTGCAACAATTTATTGAAGGAATTGAAACAGGAACCACTCCACCGCGCTCCAATGCTCCAGACCATCCCTTTAGCCCCTGTAGCATTCTGATGCGCGATAGGGGTACAACGATCAGCCAAATGATCTTCATGTGGGAGTGACATATCATCGAACTAAAATTGTTTTATCGGGCCTTAAGTCTCTGCTCCGGGCTATGCCCAGTTCGGCGACTTGGTGCTCGAGGATGTGGGCCCTTCGTGCCCAGGTTTTGGTGTTTTAAATAGTTTATATAAGATCTTAATAGATAACCAATGTTCTTGTACAAAAAAATTCATATGCTAGCTTATGATAATGAAGAGAAAAACTATAATATATTTCTATTGTCTATTATATAACTAAATCTCGATAAACTAAAATTCAATAGAGCCATTCTTAACTCAACTCACATACTAGCCCAATTATTAAGTTAATTTTTTACTCGACACAACTGTATAGAAAGGTTTGGCAGTTAAAATGTGTAGTATGAGATATTACAAAAATACTCTCATCTAGGGATTTAAATCATCATTTGTTTATTAATTTAAACAACAGTTTTGTTCAAAAACTGTATATTTGGAGATTTGACGTCAACAGACAACTTTTTTCAGAAAACATACAAAAAATGAGATACGCTAAATTAAATTGATTTGAAACGAAAAGATGTAAGAGATTACATCACTAAGCACATAGCTCAAGCCATTGAAGGATCGAAAAATATTTGCAACTTGTAAATAAAAAGGAAAAACTAAAACAAATAAGGAAGATATCTTAAAAATTACTCAAGATTTTTACTCAGAACTGTAAATTCGAGAACTTCCAGATCCAAATCAAAGTCAAACACCAAAAGTCCAAAATGTAGGCTCAGAAGACATCCCAGATATCACAACAGAGGACATAAAAAGAGCTCTCTCGGAGATCAAAAACAATAAAACACCTGGAGAAGATGGGATAGTCAGAGAACAAATCAAAGAAGGAGGAGAAACGTTAATGTTTGTTCGACGACAATGCAATAATAACCATAATGCACAAAAAGGTGCTATTTCAGACCTAAAGAACTACAGACCTATTAATTTGCTCTCCCATACATACAAACTATTCGTGAAGATAATAACAAAACGGCTTCTGAAAAAACTGGATAGTTATCAACCTTGTGAACAAGCTGGGTTCCGCTCCAGATACGGAACAAATGATCATCTACAAGTTATTAAAACGCTAATAGAAAAGTACACAGAATACAACGGGTCCATCTTTCTTATATTCGTAGACCATGAAAAGACGTTTAGTACTATAGATCATCATAAAATACTTCTAGAATTGGATGATTGCTGTATCGACTATCGATACATTGTTTTCACTAAGAGCATCTACGAAACTGGTACAGCTTGTGTCCGACTGCATGAAGATACTAGAAAGTTCCGAATAGAACGTGGAATTACAAAGGGTGATACAATCTCGTCGAAATTGACAGCTGTACTCCAATATATGTTCAAGGGAAAGGAACGAGAGGATAATATGGGTACTAATATAAATGAAGACGATCTGAATCGCCTAAGAGTTGTCGATGATATCGTTATATCTGATAAGAGTTGATGAAGCTACAAAAATGCTGGAAACGCTCTATAAAGCGTCAAAAACAATTGGTTTTAAAATTTACACCTTAAAGACTTATTTTACAGTAAATTTTCGTATCGTTACACACACGTTTTTGAAATACTTGCTAAAAATCGGCTTACCTCTGCACTCCTGAGTTTACATACGAATGAAAAATGACTACAAGAAGTTAGAAAAATATTTACTTTTGCTATGTGTCAAATCGAAGTATGCGAATTGACATTTAGTATCGAATAAATACAATGAAAATATTAATAATAATAAATATAATAACGTTATTACACCAACAAAACAGTTACCTAATGGCATCCAGGTATAAGAAGAGAGTAACTTTAAACCAATAATGGAATACTGTATAATAGGAGAATCAATAATTAAAGACTGCAACTAAATCTTAAGAAACTAAGTCAATCGAAGTTTATGAAAAGACCAATTAAACTATAAATTTAGTATTTATCTAGTTGTACATTTAATGACCAACTCGGTGCCAAACTATTATTAATCTTTCTCTTGTACCCTATGGAAATTTTGTGTCACAGCAACTTGGAGAACAAAACAAATACATAGGAAGGAAATAAATTACTTTGTTACCATGAAATACATCAACAAAAGCTTTAAATAAATTTAAAAATAGGGCCAAACTAATACAATAAACTCATTTTATCCACAGCTTTATTGATGGTCTTGCACAAATAATTTCGACATCCAGTGTCCGCCACCAGTGTTCAATTGCAGTAAAGCATTATTTTAAATGAACGGTTAGAGACGAGCAACATGACGATCACTAGTGTCTGGCTGATTTTAGTGGCTCAGTAGTCGCTGACTAATATCTCAGCTTGGCCAAAAAGCCGGCCACTGGACACTGTTTTATTTTTAGCAGAGTGTTGTTTTGAATCAAGCGTTCACACGTGCCACTTTTATAATAGTGCCTTGTGTTCAGTTTAGTTTTAACTGCCGTTGAAGAAGAACCAGTAGTCTGGAACCATAAATTAGAACAATATAGCTCAAAAATTGTTAAAAGAAATGTATAGGAAGGAATAGTATCAAAAATTAATAAATATATTGAAAGAGAGCAAAGAGCATTTAATATCTGCAGTAATTATGGATGCACCCATAATATTTTCTTTATTTGTCGCCTCCTCCTGCGTCGCCGTCGAATTTATAAGAATGCACTTGTCGCTAATGTTATTTTACTGAGATTCATGTTTAAACTGATGAAATTCTAATTAGTGTCAACCACCGGTGTTTCGTTTGCGCAGCTGACGAACCACCGGTAGTGAACACTGGTGTCCGACACCAGTCGTTTCGTCTGAAAGGATACTAAATGACGTACGAAATAAACACATAACTGAGAAAATAGATATACTAGACACTACATGAACAATAACAGAGACTCAAGTTTAAATAGCAATACAAGAACTAAAAAATCGAAAAACGCCAGAAAATACAATTGCAAACGAACAAATAAAATATGGAACACGTATCAAAGGAAATAACAAACATTTCCAATAAAATAATTCAAGAAAAGAAAGTGTAAAACAAGCATTACTTATTACATTTTTATTTTAAAATATCCGAAAATATCGTTGACCAGTAGTAAAGATCATCTATTGATGATTACACATTTCACAAAACAACAAAAGAATACCTGATGACCAAATCAACAGATAAAACGGAATGTAGAACTTATACCCAAAGAACCAATCAGATGCAAACATCGAAGAATAAGACAGAAATAAGATCTGATACAAAGAACAGAAAACAGGCTCTAAGAATAACTGACTTGAAGACCTTAATATCTAGATGGGATTTAATAAGAAACGAAAATATCGTGCCAAAATCTGATGTCCAAGGTGTAGTGAGATGGAGAAGCTAACGAAGATAAAATTAAAATGCAAACAACATGTAACGAAAATGGGAGAAGATAGAATTAGAACAATTGTAAGATATGGTAAATTAAACGGAAGAACGCTACCTGGAAGACCACCATAAAGATGGCAAGAAAGCTGATCTTCGGAATCACAAATAGGACTAAATTACTAACATAGGCCATAGACCTAACGTATGAAAAAGAAAAACTAAATGACCTTACAATAAATCTATTTTGAAAAGCAAATCATTTTTGATACGCGTTTACTAAACATTTTATATTTATCTGTGCTGTTTACTATTTGAGGGAGAGGGAACAAGAGGAACAATCATTTAATACTAAAATTTTTGTTGAAGAGTTTATGGTAAAAATTAATAAGTGACGCCCGAGAAGGAAATGGGCGAAAACAGCAAGTCGTGACCATTAGAACGAATATTGTTATTAAAAACTAATTGAATAATGTTTAAAAAAAATTACTTATCACTAAACTAAAATCAATGATTAAAATTATTACTTTTTTGCTTTTTCTCCGGTCACTACCAAAGTTTGATTTACGAATACTTTTTTTGGAGTAAAGAGACATATTTAAATAGAATTTACACAGAAAATAATTTTTAAAATTGTATGTCAACACAAACTTTACAACACATACTAATATGCCTACTAAAATAAATTAAGACAAAAAATCATCGGACTTGTTTTTAATGATGGTATAAAATTAATTTGTTAATTGCATAGAAATGTGATTCCTTTGACCTCTGTGACTTTTTAAAAGCTATCATAATTTATATACCTATACATATTATTATGATTCGCTGATTCGCTTGGGCATTACCACCTGCTAAACTGTAATAATGCTATTGTGCAGATTTGCTAAAATGCTTTTAAAATGTTGAACAAGAGGAAAAAGGAATAAGCATTGAAGGTGAACACTTCAATAGTATTCCTTGGAGCAGGAGTAATAACCTGCGATTTTAAATATATGTTGGAAGAACTTAGGTGGGCTGCCAATGTGCCTTGGCAGTCCTTAAGACGAGTTTATCCATGCATGGATTTGCTGACGCCGGTCGACAAGCCAGTTCACGCCGGTGAAGGTTTGCCTTTCTCTTACATTCTTAATTCAAGAATGGTAAATATAATGGCAATGTTAGCTTCAGACTTGTCCAATAAATTTAACGCTAACATATTTTTGTGGTTCTCTAATCATTGTAAATATTTATCACTATGTGACAACACTATCACTTCACTTGCAGTTGACAATTGTAGGTCTTGTAGAATGTCTTTGTTGCTGACAAACCATGACGCTTCAGTTATTGCTCTAACACCTTGTTTTCAAATCGGTCCATGATTGCTAGGTTGGATTTTGAACTCCTCTCACCTCTCACCTCTATTCCGTACGTCCAAATTGGTATCAGTATGGTATTGTACGCTAGTAGTTTGTTTCGCAACGACAACTGGGACTTTCTTCCGAGTAACCAATATTTTCTATATGTGAAATCAAGATGTTTTCTTTTTTCCATGTATGAGCTTCCCAGGTGAGTATTTTTTCCATATGTAAGCCACAGTATCTACCCTTGCAAGGGGAGCATTGTTAGGAAATATTTGAGGTTAATCGCTATATCATTTAGTGATTTGGATTCATTTAGTTTTAACGGGATCTGAATGTACTGCCATTATTGTGGTATTGTCCGCAAATGTGGCTGTATGTACTCTATTGTCAGAAGGCAAACCGGAGGTAAATATTAGGTAAAGAATCGACCCAAGAACGCGCTACCTTGTGAGGAACGCCTGCCTTTATAAGATGTACACTGGTTTTCGTCTTTATATTTTACCTGTAAATATCTTTCTTTTATCTACTTACGAGTATAGTATGGCATGCATGTAGGTCCTTTTTTAGTTTATACAGTAGTTTCCTTTCTCGATAGTTCTTTCATAATTGTTCCCGTGATTAAGTCGTGTCCTGGAGCTTTTTGAGGTCTAGCTCTGTGTTTATAATATACTGTACCTTATTTGGTGTAATATGTTGTATTTGTTCATCTGATGTGTTTTAGAATCAAGAATGGCTATGATTTCGTCATCTGTATCTTCTCATCTCAACCGCACAAGACAGACACAGATGGAAAGAAGTGAGGGAGACCAGCATTGGACGCATACAGGTTGATGATGATAATCTTCTCATCTGTATGTTGAGAGTAGTTTAAAAACTTTTTCAAGATAGCGAAGATTTCTGCTCTCTCTTTATTTGTTTTTGTCCAACTTCCATCAGGTTTTCTTATAGGTGGGATATGTTCTTTGGGTTGCTTTAATTTTTTAGTTGCTTTTCATAAGCTGTAATTTGTATCCTCTGTTGACTTTAGGTTTTCCACAGTTTTGGAAGTTATCCTTTTTAATGCTGATTGGAAGTCTTTGGAGCATTTGGCTGCCCTGATATAGTTTGTTTTATCTGCAGAGTGTCTTATGTTTTGTCAGATCTTTCTTAGGTGGCGTTTTTCTTTAATCTACTCTTTTATACTAGGAGGGTAGTGACTTCTATTTTGGGTTCCGACTAATGGTTTAGTTGATTTCCATAAGGCATACTGTATTAATTCTGTAAATATTTGTACTTGGTTTTCCAATTCTTGGTGTGTTTTTAAAGATGTGTTGAAGTTTACTTCATTTTCTAATATTACACTGAATAAATTGAATTATATCAAGAGCCAGTAGGAACCAGGAAGAGAGGCAGGCCAAGATCTAGATTCAAAACTCAAGTCGAAGATGACTTGAGGAATCTAGGGGTCAGAAATTGGAAAGCATTAGATTGGAGGATACTTTAGTTACAAAGAAGTCACGGCAATCTGGGCATTTCTGAGAATCTGTAGGACAGTAGGTTAGTGTATAGGTGGACAGATGATTTAGGTGTAGTTCTTAAATGACTTGAATGTTTATACTAGATTAATATTTTGGCACGCCACTTTCATTTTTAAGTTTGCACAGTGGAATATCTTTTTCAATTCCAACTTGTCGTGGTCGTTTAAACAATAGGAGAGGCCCAATTTGGATTAGAAACTGGATTACTACAATGTCCTGGGAACTTCATTTTTTACCTCGTGAACTGCTCATTTATTATTGATTTATTATGATTATTGTTAAAATGGCTTGATCACACATTTAATAATATTATAATTTAAAATAACCACAAAACATAAAGGTTTACACATGCAAATTTAATTTAAAACGTCGATAAATGGTCACTGGTGCATGAAAAGTTGGAAGATTCTAATTTTATTGGCACAATACATGCACTTTTCAGACTTGCTAGTCACTACTCTCCAGTAAATGTTACATGCCATTTTATTTTACTGGAGCGCCAACAAATACTGGCGCCAGCGAATCCATGCGTGTATAAACTCAACATATGCAGCCGAATGCGTGGCATAACGCTAAGAGGGGTTGCAATAGCACAGGACAAAAATAACTGGAAAAACCTTGAGGAGGCCTATGTCGGACAGTGGACGCATACAGAGGCTGTATGGTGATATATTCTAGTAAACAATTCTAGGATTAGAGATGTAGATAATGATTTTTTGAAATCGTAGTGCCTCTAGTACTACGGTACATTACAACAAGTATTACATTTGTCATCTTTCACATCGTTTGCAATAAGGTCATGATGTGATTATGTTATAATAAATGTTTATACATACAGATATCTATATCATCATTAACAATTACAAAAAAAGATAGAAACAATATAACTAAGGTGACCATTTTTTAGGAGCATTAAGTATTTAAAAAATTATAAAATTATATACTCACTTCACAAAATATCGTTAATTTATCATCTGGAAGAAGACCATTGGCTTCATCTAATAAAAAATCCCGTCTAATGAATTTCTTAAAGCCCCAGTCTTTTCCTTGCACAAACCTATACGCTCGTTGGCTTTCCATCGCCTTTGTCTCTTCGCGTTTCGCATTTAATATACTAAATTTAAATTTGGCTCTAACTTCACTTTTATTGCACGACACTAGTAACAAATATAATGATAAATAGTCTTTGCTTTCTTCATCCAGACCTTTCGGATTCACTCTTAAACACCTGAAAATATAACTTCAATTAACAATCTTATAAAAATTAGCGATAAAAGAAAATGTCTTAGCTTTATATATATATATATATATATATATATATATATATATATATATATATATATATATATATATATTTAGATGGCACTAAGAAAATCTTCTTGCGAATTAGTAATACATTTTAATTTTTAATGTAGCACTGTATTATGCAGAGGTTGAAGGAGAGAAGAAATTGAAAGTTTCGGCACTATATAAGAACATGAAATATTACAAATATTATTACTTTAACATTTGTATTTTAAAATAATAGGAAAGTACAAACATTATGTCCAGTGAAACTAGAACATTGTAACAGTAATGTTTTGTATCATACGTAAATAGCTTGCAATTTTTTTTCAACTGCCACCAAATGAAAACCATCATAAAAACTTTTTCTTGACAAAAATTGAAAATGTATAAGAATAAGAGAAGAAAAAATCAATGTTCTTTCTAACGTAAAAAATAACCTATGTAGCAAGTTCAAAACTCTTTGAACTTTTTATTAAAGAAAAATGAAAATCACAAAAATAAGAGAAGAAAATATTGAGTACAAATCAATAGTATTATCCCTTACTCCTAGAGGAATAAATGTAGCAAGTTTCAAGAGTAAAGTAAAGGCATAAGAATATAATAAGACAAAAACCTACTTCCACTATTTCAATAGCGTTCTTGTAACAAGAGCAACTTACCAGGTTTCAAAACTATAGAAGTTTTCCTTCAAGAGATATCACATAGACGCATAAACAACTGCGTGATTTCAATATGGGCAATTACAACTCAATAATTTATGGAAACATAAAGAGAGAAGGAGAATTTATGAAAAATTAAACATAACAATTCATTTTTATAATAATTAAATTATTACCGATATTTGCGCCAAATGTTCGCAACTTACATTACAATTACAATTTCTGCCGAAGACAAGTCGAGACTTCACGCCTAAACAAGTATAATTTTGTTAAACCTCCCAATTAATACAAGAGTATTCTAAAAACGAGCTGTTTATTAAAATTTACTTGGGCAGCAATATAAGCTAGTTATGGAATTCAACTTATCAGGAAAGCAGATAGATTACAAATATACTGACAACTTGTGACTAGTTTGGAGAATAACTTTATAAATGAAATAAAATCTTCAGCAAAATGTAAATAGAGCTGGAAACAATGAAATAATTGAAATAAATGTTGTAAATTAACAAATAAATACAATTGAAATATTACAATCATAATTATATTCCTAGATTTTTGGATACAATTTAAAAAAACAGCAGTTTATAAGAAAAATAATTAAAGAGTTTCTTTTAAGTATAAAATTAAACCGCCATTCCCCTATGTTCAGAATACAACACGCCTCTGTATGTTAACATTATTATTTTATAACTCCCAATAGTGTTTTTTACAGTAATTAACAACAATTTTGGTAGGTATATAGTTTAAAAACTTATTAAATACTCGTTACTAGTAAACGATCTGAACAAATATCCCAACAAAAATATTGTTTTCTAGAATATAAAAGTTTTCTTACCATTTTAATTTATCATTTGCGCCAGCGGAAAATGTAGAAGACTTCAGAACTTCACCCATTTCTTCTCGACAAAAACTAAAGTTGTTTATGGTCCACATATAACTAAATTTAACTACTTTAACCTGAAACAAATAAAAATATTTTAATTTAAAAATATATAACAAGCGTAAGATATTTTTTATAATAATTCGGTAGATATATACATTTGGCCAAATTTTTTTACAAATAAATATTCTTCCTGGAACTTCTATGATTCTTAATAACCTTTCCATTTTGGGAATACAATAAATAAACAAACACAAACACAGAATACAACCAAAAAACTGACATTTTAACAAATAATGTTCTTGTCAAATAATGACATTTATTCGCCACCTTATTATTTAAGGTAATTGGACGAATGAGTTGAAGCGCGGTATTTAGAACCAGAAGTCGCGACTAATCGCGAGTTCGATCCTAATAAGGGAATATTATTTTTTAATTTATTATGTTCTGACTTTTGTCACTTCGGTTTTAAAAATCATAGAATGGAAAAATCATATCTTTTTTAATATTGTTTCGCTAATTTTATACATTATTTAATTTTCCAAACTATTTTATTTATCATTGAATATTTAGTAGAAATATGTAGTAGTCATGGGCGTAGAGATGAAAGGGGCAATAAATATAATAATTGTTATTTTAAATTTCTTTTATGTACATATTTATATGCATGGAGATAAATCTCAAAAAAGGTCTATTATATGTATAAATTATGATTTTTTGGCCTATATATGACACTAGTGACGTTATCCATCTGGGAAGAAAGAGTTATTTTTTCACCGAGAGTTAATTTAATAAGATTTTCGCAATTTAGTAGGGTATTTGAAACACTGCCACAAAGAAACAAAAAAATCCAGGGACCAAAAATGATTTATACAAGTGCTTTCAACTAATGTATTAATTTCTCCATAATTCTATTTAAAAGTATCTTACAAAATGGCGCCAAGACGCTATTAATAAAACTGAGGCTTAGTTCAGTTACCTAAAAATTTAGTAATTCAAGTTTTAAGGTTCAGAAAAGAGTTGTTTGGGTGGGACTTATTTCGTTTTTTTTTTCACCTTAGCATATTGAATTAATTCCTTTATTTTCGATAGAATATATTTTGAATATGTTGTAATTATCTCCACAATTCATGAGAACAAACTATATACTAAAATTTTTGACCCTTTTAATATTTCATATTAAGAACTCAATAGTTATTGTCTGTCTGTTTTTCTGCTTTTATGTGCTATAACTATAAAGGAAAAATCCTAAAAACTTGATACTTGATACATAGCTTGGTCCAAGGTCGAACCCTATTGAATTTCTTCTTCTTATTCTTATTCTTTATAAGCAATTTTGTTTGTTCATTGGCGAATTAATACATCTATGGAAGGTGGTCAATCCGTCCTTTGCCCGGCCGTCCGATACTTCTTCCGATTGGTGACTTACATCTTGCTATTTTGACGATACGGGTCTTCCCCAGTCTGCTTATGGGGTTATTCCATTAATTTTTTTATTGATTGTCTATTCGTTTATACACTGTACAGTACATTTTCTCTTAATGTCTTCGCATCTCTTTCGATCTCTCAGCGTATTTCCTGTAATTCTTCTCAGTACTCCCACTCTCATCTCTGCATTTTCAGTAGCCTTTGTGCTGTGTCGGGTCTTGTTTCTGAGGCATATGTCTTCATCTCTAGACTTCATCTCAGTGCCAATGTGTCTGTTTCGCCATGTAGTGTTATTAATTCATCCTGTTAGTCTATTTGTTTTTTGTACTTGACTTTTCACTTCTTTGTCCAAGACTCCATAGCTACACAATGTAATTCCAAGGTATTTTATTTCCATTGCTTCTTCAATAGTTTTCTAAAATAAGATTGTCAATTTTTTTAATCTGTTAAATCAGTGGACCAGTTTTTCCAGACTATCTTTCTCTTGGGTTATCAATATTGCGTCGTCTGCGTAACAGAGTATTTTTACTTATTTGTTTTCCATTCTGTATCTTCTTTCCTTATTCCGCTGCCTATTGCTATAGGTTCTGAACTTGTCCATCTATTCTGACTTCCATTTTGTTGTTTTGTTAGATGTTTTCAATAGTTTTTATATTTATGGGAACTTCTCTATTATAAAGAAGATGGATTACATCTTTGGAATCTGACTCTGCCAAATGTTTTCTTTGAGTGAGCTCTAGTGATTTCTGAGTAATTTGCTTTATGACGAATATTGCATCTTTACACGTTCTTCCAGTACGATATTCCTGTTGTTCATTTGTTAAACTTATTCTCTAATTCATTAGTTCTTGTAAAATTTTAGTTGTAAGTTTTATGGTAGTATTTAATAAGTTTATACCTTTGTAGTTTTCTGGCTGTTGTTTATCACCTTTTTTGAATAGTAGAATTAGTTCGCTCGTTGTCAATTCCTCCGGTATTTTATTGTGTTTTATAATTTTATTGATTAATGCTGTTAATTTTCTGTCATTGTTGCTCTAAAATATTTCAGTAATTCGTTTGGTATTCCATCTTTACCTACTGCTTTTCTATTCTTCATCTTTTCAAGTATTTTACGAACTCCCTGAATATTTATATTAAGTTCTTTATTTGTGGTAATTTCTGATGTTTCCGGTTCTAATGTAGTTTCCTCTTCCTCTGCGTATAGCTTTTTTAGGTAGCCAATGCATGTATCCTTTCCTTGTGTTTTAGTTCTATTAGTTCCATTACCTTCGTTCTTTGACCTCTTACAAAGCGTCATATTTTCTTTTGCAGACCATAAAAATCATGTTCAACTTTCTTCGAAAAGCGTTCCCAGCAATCATTTTTTCGACTCTATCCCTTTGAAAGGGGTGTAACTTTCTATTCAACAGAATATAGTTTATCATAAATCTTTGTCCTCTAGTGTTTTCAAAATTGTATTTGTATTGTTCTTACAGGCGGAATTCTATTGAATTTGGAGTTAATAAATTAAAGATATCTCAGAATAGAGACGCTGTAGTGTTTGGAAACTTCGGTTATATTTTGGACGTTCGATAAAGGCTTTCATTACTACCTCATAAAAATATTTCTTTTTACTATTGTACTTTATTGTACTCTATTGTACTTTCTTTTCTGTGCATAATAATTTTTCGATGTATTGCTAAAAACCCAAGTATTTTTGTCTTAAATCCTGGGTTTTCGGTCTGTGGTTGATACAGAAATTAATATTTTTCATACATTTCGACGGCTTTGCGTTTTCAATGAATTTATTTTATTTTATGTTCGACATATTAGTGTATAAATTTGTTGGCAAATGACGTGTATATTTCTCATGCACTAAACTCAACTTTATAAACACAATGTACAGATGTTTAATATAGAGTAATGAATAATCGAACAACCAAATGTTCAGTCTAGACTTTCGATTTTCTAAATGAACAGTTTGACCCGTTGCGTGCCGATGGTTTCAATAAAAAATTAAATCAAATACTGAGCGCACAATGGCGAAGCGTGGGAATAATAGTTATGCCGCGCCCTATACACTTTTACCGAATTTAATTCGGATGTTGGAATGCTTTTGTAAATTACAATGACAACTGAATGAACAGTAATTATTGATACATGTTTGATTGGGTACATGTGATATAACCACCAAAAAAATAAACTTTGTACGATAGTAGTTTTGATAATATACATGAACAAGACGTAAAAAATAATAAAATAAAACCACAACAATATTTTTATCAATAACATAAGTAAAAATATAAAATAGTGAATGTAATTGCATTTACATCTTCTTCTTCTTCAAGTTCCACTCCTATCGGAGATTGGAAATCATTCTGGCAATTATAATTTTATTGGTTACTCGCGTGAATAGTTCAATTGAACTGCATCCAAACCACTCACGGAGATTGCGTAGCCACGAGATTTTACGTCTTCCTACGCTTCTTCTACCTTTGATTTTACCCTGCGTTATATTCCTTAGTAGTTCGTACTTTTCACCTCTCATGATGTGCCCCAAGTATTCCAATTTCCTGATCTTTATGGAATTTAAAACTTCGCATTGTTTTCCTAGTTGTTCGAGAACTTGTTCGTTTGTTTTGCGATCCATCCATGATATTTTCAAAATGCGTCGGTAACACCACATTTCGAATGCTTCTAGGTTTTTAATGTTGGATTTTTTAAGTGTCCAAGCTTCAACTCCATACAAAAATCAAATTTACATCTTAAAGCATCAAATTCTATGAAATACAGTGAATAACTTTTGTTTTTTTATCTATACTAGCTACGGGACGTGACAGATGGAAAAGTGCAGGATGTGGGACGGGACAAGATCCTGTTCCGTGTGAAATCCTAATACTGGTTTCTCATTGATAACCACCAATGGTAGCATAGACCTGTACCAAATGTAACATCGCAAGACTTTAGATATCTAGGTCTCAGAGCAAATTTGGTCTCAGAGCTCTCAAATAGATTCTTTAAGACAGTATCTGCCTTCTGATTTAAGTGTTCATAAATCTATTCCTTTTTATAGTTAAAAATGTCAAGAAGGGTATACTACACCTTAAAAGTAAAACATATATCGTAAATTTTCAATATCTTTGGTGCTGCATTACATTTGAATGGAATATTAACAGAAATAGGGCAATGGATAGCTTATATAAAAGAAGTCTAAAATTACTTACATACGTAAATTAAAAAACAGGATATCATCGCCATTCCAAATGAACTCTTAAATACTAAGAACAAACAATATTCATTGAAAACACGAGTTTCTCTATTCGGGAATTTTAAATATAATATTTTAACAGCAAAAGCGAATACCCAATTAGTGGAGGACGAGTATTATAATTAATACCAAATTTTGGGTCTTCTGATTTCCAGTCACGATTTATCTCGGTCGTTAGAAAGGTTTTCTTCAACTCCCCTCTCCCTTAAGTCTTTATCGATTCCTTCTCTCCAACTTAATCTAGGTCTACCTTGCTTTCTTCTTCCATGCGGTGTCCAGTTCAATACTTTCTTTGGTATTCTGTGTTAATCCATTCTTTAGACGTGTCCATACTATCTTCGTTGATTTATTCTGATGTCCTTTGTTATATTGTGCTTTACACCCATTATTTCTCGTTTTCTT